GATGGACATGAAGCAATATAATTGAGTTGTCCTCATGAAAGAAAAAAGAGAGCCTATATATACCTACGTACATACTCTTTCAGTAGCTTTGCAATTGCATTGTCTCACTCAAGAATGAACCAATCAACAAGCCCTTTAAGTTTTAAAAATATCTTTGCCATTGAAATGATGTCTCATTAGTCATTATTGACAACTTTCGGTAAAAATAATATAATTACATAGTAAATAAATTTATCTAAATTAAAACATAAAAGGTCGAATAAATTAAAGTAATGTACTCGTACATTAATACATTATCTGATCTTCAACTTTATAGAAATAAGCATGTTTAATTTATTCTATAAGGATAAGCCTCGTAATTTGGCTGTTTGATGATTTCAATCAGATTTATGTACTTGTGTTACTAATTCCTTTTTAGTAATACCGCAATAATTTCGAATACTATGTTTTTCATAAAATATTATGGTTATTATTAAATGTGATGAGATGTAGTAGGAGGTTAGTTACTTGTCAATCAAGAAAATTATTAAATTTGACTAGCACTTCGATTCAACGCAACCAACCAACCAACCAATTCAACCATATAATACTATTGTTCTCCATATTAAACTTATTAAAGGAAAATTAGTGCGTGGTACGACCGGTACCTTTTTTTTTTTTTTAAAGAGAAAATTCATTAACATAAAACCTAGATTGTGAATTTTCACAAATTTCATCCTTATAATAGTGGTAGCTCACCCCCAATTACAAAGAAAAATTGGAAAAAAAAAAAATAGTGTAAGCTTGAATGATTTCAATTATCTTTATTTAGACGTGGTTCAAACTTAACTAATTTTTTTTATATGATAAAATATAGGAGGTCCTTCTATCACATGAGGAACACTTCTTAATTCTTATACAGTATATATAATAGCATGCTTTCGTAAATTTTATTTCAGATTAGCAACTTCTACTTACTTTCATTTTGTTGACTTACGCGAAATAAAGGATTTAGTTAAGATAATTAGTGACATTGATAGCATCTTAAAAAGAAGCTTAAGGAATAATGATTTGCATTTTGTAACATGTAATGGTGATCATGTGAAGCTACGGCAATTAGGGACCCAAAGGATAGAAAGACTATTTGTGGCTTTTTATGAGAAAATATTGACAAAATAATATTGCGATGGTGCGTGCTTTCTCTTTAGAACTCACACACTACTTAATTTATCAATTAATAAGGATAAGTGGCTCCATTAAGTACCTTCTTATTTGCATAAACGGCCAATTTAATTGTAATTAATACACTAATATATGGGATACCACTGATTATCCATTAGATATATGTAACACTTTTGGACAAAAAAAGTTTGTAAATTATGACTTTAATCTGTTTTTAGACTTTTGTGATAGTTGCACTCGCCACTAATACTATCACTTAATGTAATTTAATCATAAAAGTTGGCTAGGATTATTTTGAGATTATATGCTTTTCCAAGTTAGTGGGACCTCGATATTGTTATTATGTGAAGTAGTCTTTAGCACTTAGTAAAACAAATTAAATTCAAATTTAACAAATTTATATTCTTGGGCCGCTTTCAACAAATTTTTTTATCTATTGAATTCGTTTAATCTATACTTAATATTTAAAAACACAAACCGCAACTTTTTCAAATGACACGTGTCATCATAAGTCACTCATTACCCCATATGCCACATGTTACCTCCCTTAATATTTATATTTAAGTCTTTATGCATTCTACAACTTGCAAATTCAATTAAGAAAGTGAAGTGTTTCATTTCCACCATAATAAAATAAAGTTCAATTAATTAGTACACAACTACACATTACATCTATTAAAAAAACAAAAAAAAAAACTACGCATTACATAAATATATGAATTATAATAAAAATTGTCTTTTCATCTCATAGACTATAAATATAATCTTAATTAATATGTCATTTCATATCCCACAATCTTTATGTATATATACCTAACTAAATTCCTTCACCTTCTTTCACGGTTCTATCCTCACTCTTTTTTTGTTTTCCTTCTAAGTTATAGAAATAAAGTATACTTACATATGAAAATAATTAACCCAAGTAACAACCCGTGCATTGAACGGGCCAAAAAGCTAGTTCTAGTTAAAAGTTGGCCTGGTTTTTTTTCTAAATTACATTGATTCTATGCGGTATGTTAGGAACAATTTGTTTGTAAGTTGTTTTTTTTTATTCACCTATTCACTAGACTAAAAGTTCATTATGAAATTATACATCTTACTTTTTAGATAGAAAAGTCCAATTTTCACTTCTATTTAGATATTTATAAACTAAAAGATTTTTTGGTTCATGATTTACACAAATCCTTGTAGCCTAGCTAACTACTAATCTTAATTTCCAATCTATAACCTATCATTCCATGATTTTGTTCACGTATGAACAATATTTGAGGTTAATTGCATGGTTTTAATATCTGTAACATGGAAAAATTACATTAATGCATGATAAGGATCAAGGTAGCTATGTATTATAGGACATACTCGCTCGTAGCTTATATCAAAATTGTGATGATTATTCATTATTTGCCTGCCTCACTCCCCAGTAGTCAATTGAAGTGTTTGTTTATATCATGCATTGTTCACAGTTTTGGTTCCATCTTCTTTATTTTAAAGTATTTTTAAATACAAAATACTCGTATTTTTTTCTCTACGTACAATGATCGAGTAGAGCTCAAAAATAAAAAGATAATGTGTTTTGCGTCTTAAATATATATATATATATATATATATATATATATATATATATATATATATATATATATATATATATATATATATATATAATAGCCAAAGTAACCAAGTCTATAACTCTTTGGTTTCAAGCAACCGAGATCCTTCAAACTAAACAAGAAATTTTTGAGTTTTTGTTATTGCTTATGTTGGTTTGTAAGAGCTAGTTAAGCTCATTTAAGTGTTTTGGTGAACTATTTGTAATTTGTAATAGTTTGATTTTGTTATTTTGAAAATTAAAAACTTTTTCATAAGGGTTGTGATTTAATATAGAGTGGGGCAATTGGTCTCTGATAGGAAAATTGGTGCGGCAGATTAGACAAGTAAAAGTAGTTTTTGTTATACCAATAGAAGATAAAATACGGCAATTATGTGCTAACATAATGATGATCCTTTGATTTCAACAATCAATCTTTTGAGTATTTTGTTAATTAACTATCAAACCATATCTATCTATCTTTGTCAATGGTTGGGAGCATCAAGCATGCATGTCCCTTTTAACTTTTATGTCTACCCTGCCATCTTTCCTTGTTTTTTCTTTTCCCTTTCCTTTATTACTGTACAAATAAACCTTTGTTTTTTTTGGATATTAATTCTGCATATTTCTCTTTATTTATTAGATTCATAAAAACTGAGTATAAAGTTTCATTTCATATATTTGTCTTATTCAGATTAAAGTAACTTTTCAGTAAAACACTTTTACAATAATAATACTATGAGATAATTAGTTAAATAAGTAAAATTAATTAGGGAAAAAAATCAATATGTATATGATAAAATACACGCAAGCTTGAGTGTCATCAATTATCGCATATTTAACATGGATGCATGTGAATATGTAATCAAGTGCCCATTTACACGTGCTCATGGGGTGCGTGTGCTTTGGGGTGCAACATTTTAATTCCTTCTTCAGTGATACAAATTAGTGTACACAATCGAATTTGCTATTTAAGTTTTAAGAAGATGATTAGATATAGCCTTTCTAAACCTAAATCATACATCACACTTTATTAGCTTTATATGAACATCAAGTTACCAAATACTGTAACTACTCTGTATTATATGGAGCTGAGTATATTAATTCATAGGATGCAATATTGCTATATGAATAGCCTTAGATATGTTTATATACAATTAAATCATAGACCCAAAAGGTTTAAATGGAGCAAATGTCCCCATGTTGGACGTCCCCCCATAATAAGTTGACAAGCAATGTAAGGGAACCGAGGCTTAATATTTGGTATCGTTCCCATGTGAGAGAAGTGACAAACTTGAAACAATTTCCTAATTACATGACACTAGGTTTATTTCTCGGTTCTTACATATGTAGTAAAGTATCTAGCACAACTCTTTTTATTCTCATATTTCACCTATCATCTTTTTGTTATTAAAAATTAATTAAAAGAAGGCAAAAGCTAATGAGCGCTCTCAGGGCGTTAGATAAAACAGTTAAAAGTGAAAATATTAGAGTAAAATTAACATTAATTACATCGAATGATGCGTAATTTTGTCATGCATTCATAACTTAATACTATTTCTACTAATATAATTATTCCTTATCAAACGCTCCGGAGCGTTCGTTAGCAAGATCCTTAAAAAAAAAAAGGGAAAAACAAAGTGTATGCGTAGATTAATTGCTTTAAGACCCATTTACAATGGTGTTTTGAAATTGATTCCAAAGGACAAGGAACTAATTCCAAAAGTTCTTTTTGAATTGATTCGTGGAAATCAATGTGTTAGTTTATTTAAATGTTTACTAAACTTAATGCCCACGTATTTTTATTTTCGCAAAACTTAATCACTAAACTTAATCTCGCATAAAACAAAATTTATCATCTCATGGTGAAAAGAAGATTTTATGCAAAACATACATACGGAGTACTTTTAATCACTAAACTTCTAACCTTTTGTAATACTATAATAATATACTCCGTAGTTAATACTCATATAAATTGGGTTATTTTGTTTGTGTATAGAGAGGGTCATAAACAACAATAAAGTACACGAATTTATATCTCATATATTGTGTATTAATAGAAAATAATTTCAAATTTGACACTTTATCTTAAATTTTTTTATTGTGCCCTATATAGCAAATTTCTTATTAAATTAACATTCAATAAGCAAATACGGCATACTATAATGCAAGCTATGCAATTAGATGGTTTAATACGTACTTTCAACAAGCTCGAAATAATCCAATCCACACGAGGCCAAAACAAAATCACAAGTATCCCAATAACAATTCCAATTAGTATTATATTCGAAAATAATCTCCCTCGGACAATGAATATATTGTCCACCATATTAAACTCATACATACTCCTAATCCGTAGTAATCAAGTTCTAGGACTACTATACTAAAAATTAAAAATAAAAAAAAAGTTACAGAAGGAGCTCAGAAATTGAAGACTCTTGGATCAAAGTTGCAGCACTTCACTATACATAGTCCAAATAGTACATTAGTACTACTACTACCATATCACTGACATCATATAATGACAAATGTTTTGCAGCAGAAATTAGCTGAAAAACTTCCCCCTAAAAACTGGAATTAAACAAAAATAATTACTCAGGAAATTATCTCAATTCCTTTTTTTTTTTTCGTTTTTTGTTTTTTTGGGAAAACAATTCTCTGCTTTTTTTTTTAACTCTCTCTTCTAGGCTTGGCTATGGAGAACGACAGAAAGCCGCTCTTCACGATGAAAACTCACCTGCTTCGCTATGAACGCCTCTATCGTTCGCCGGAATTCATCGCTACTCATTCCATCTTCCATCAATTCCTCCGCCGTCGATTCATCGCCGGTCAAACTTCTCCAGTAAATATCCGTCTCTGATCGTCGGAGCTTCTCCTGCTTATTCTCTACACACTCTCTCTTCATCATATTCTCCGATTGACTCCGCCGATAACTCGCCTTGACTTCCACTTCCTTCTCATCGGAAAAGACCGTTTCCGGTGTCTTCTCGTCGGAAAAAACCGCTTTCGGTTTAATTTCCTCCAGAACAACCTTAGAAACCAGCGGTTTTTTAACATTTTCCTCGCAAATAATCTCTTTATCCTGGTAAACAATCTCTTCCTTAACCAAAACAGGAATATCATCATCATCTTCAGATCGGAACTCATTGTAAAGTTCGGCGACGGCATTGTCAATTGACGACGAGCAATCGCCGGAAAACAAGCCGGATTTCACCAAAAGAGTAACCACAATAGCATTTCCGAGTAGAAAAATTGAGGTAGGACACAAAATCAAAGAGACAAGTTTCCGAAAATACTCGCCGGAAATTCTAACGGCGAAAGGAAGATGAGCTGACAACCACGAGAGAAATATGACAAGAATACAAACCTCTACAAACCGGAAAAGCTTGGCCAAACTCTGAAGTTGTCGGCATAACTTCATGAATGAAGAATCCATGAATTTACAGAGGAGAGAGAAAATTGAAGAAGAAGAAGAAGAGATTTGAATTGGAAGGAGAAAATGTGGAAAACGGGAGAAATAGAAAAAAGGAGAGAGACAGAAAGAAATATGGTGAATAAGCTGAAAAAAACAGGGAGCTGAAATAGGAATAATATAATGTGGGTTTGTGGGTGTGGTGGGGGGGGGGGGGGGGGGGGGGGGGAAGGGGGGAAGAGGGAGAGTGTGCGCAATTACTTGAATCACACTTTCAAACAAAACTTGAGCCCTTAAATTAGACAGCCCTTTTTCTCCTTTTATAGACCTCAGTTTTCAAATTTTTTTAAAGGGTATGGGAGTATTCGTATAACATTATATTCTCATCTTTACTCTTCCTGTTTTTTTGTTTTTTTTTTTCTTCACTAATGTCATGTGAATTTGTAATCAATGCATATTCAATATTTAAACTTATCTCCACTTTACTTACCATTTGAAATACAGTAGACTATAGATGGTTCATGCTCCATAACAAAGTAATTTTGTCTCTAGCATATTAAGGGTTTGTTTTGATTTAATGAATTAAACTGAACTGAACTGAATTATTTATGAGATAAGAAAATTAAGAACTGAACTGAAATTAATCTGAAGAGAACAAGTTTAAAAAAAAAATACTTTGTATGTATATATTACTCTGAAGTGAATTTGTATTAAAATTAGAGAATGATTTCACCAAAGTCTATCCGTAGTGTTTTGACAATTCAACTCTTATCCTATGAAGTACTAAGTGCGTGCTTAGATTGTCAACCAAGATCAAATCCAAGTGTAAGAGACTAATCAAGAGTAATTAACCTTGTTGAATCTTTTACTACTCCACATTAATAAGAGGTAAACTTATCATCTAAACAACCTATGAATCTAGTAAAAGCAAGAAAATTATCAAATTTAGTTAGTTCATTGTAAAAGTGGATCGATACTTGATGAAATCAAATGACCTGATTGGTTATAGAAATTGGAAATATGGATGAAGGTGTAATTGTACTTGGCTTATCAAATGTGTATTCTGGCTCTCATATACTGGTAGTGTATTGAAGGTAGAAACAAAGTAGAAGTCGCAATCAAAACAAGGGAACAGAAGCCCAAATCAAAGGAGGGGTCTAATGCAAAAACACAAAAGGTGGGATCAAACATAGTGATAGGCCCAGCTGTAAGAAAATGATGAGTTAGTCTTTTTCATAAACTTGTAACTTGTACAATACTACAAACTAGCTTAGTCGTCGTAGCTGATTGTTATTTATAGTTGTGGTGGGCGGCCCCCTCTTATATCTCACTGATTTCACTGCTTATTGTTACAATTGTAGTTTGGATAGTTGGATTCTTCGTGGAAAAAGGAAAAGCCTGGTTAATTACCAGAGCAAGTGCTATGACATACTAGTATATGCTAGGTTAGGTGTTGTTCGTTATACCTTAAAACATACACATGCCTAGCTTAATTATTTAGATACTTTTAAGTTATACGCACAGTAATCTCTAACACTAACTTTGAAGGTATATAATACATGTACGATGTGGGTATAGTTTATAAGACTTTAATGTAATTTAAACTTTCGCCCAATTAGTTTTATGATTTGAATAACTATTATTCTGTCCCTAAAACACTGTTCTATATCTTTATTTTAGTTTAATTTCTTTTACATATGGGCCTGTTTTGTTCAATTTAATTTCAATTAAGATCATTTTAGCTCCAATCAGTTATGTTCCTAGTTTCCTTCTCTCACAAAGAGTTCATTTCAGCTCTATTCAATTCAGTTTTGTTCAGCCTCAATCAGTTTAGTTCAGTTCAATTCAGTTCAGTTGTCTTTAGTAAATCGAAACAATGTTTTAGAGACAGAGAGAAAATAAAATGGAGATGGTTGATTTCAGCTCATTTCAGGTCTATAATGAGCACAATTATTGATGATAAAGAGAGATAAAGAGAGTAGAGTAAATTAGAACAATGTTTTAGAGACATAGAGGAAATAAAATGGAGATGGTTGATGGGATTGAAGAAGTTTTAAATATTTGCTTTAAAGTTTAAACAATACGTAGGCACGTAGCAAAAGATAAAGATGGAATAAATAGGGGAAACGATTGTGTTGTAGTTTAAAAATATGTAGGAGAAGAGAGAAGGGCGGATGAGTGTTTTCACGTGAGTAGAGAAGTATAGCAGTAAAAAAATGTAAAAAGGGTCTCTACTCTTTAAATCTCTAATGATCCGTAATCCGTACTGTGTTAGGGTAGAAGGGCACCATTACCCTATTATTGGACTGCCCTCCAACTATCCAGTTCGCATCGATCTCTCATAGCTTCAATTTTAAATTGCACGTACGACTGCTTTGCGTGGTCCAGACATTCTTATAGTATCACCCTCACCACTTCCCCAATCTCTGCCTCGCCTGCCCCTATGTCTTCCTTTTGGTGTTCGCAAGTCGGGCCCGTGACATGTTTTAACATATACCGTCTATACCGATTATTATTGAACAAGGGCCAGTCCAACACTTCATCTTTTTACTTTTTACTTTCTAAACCTTTGATCCTAAATATGGAGTACTTTGTATTTTGTATTTTGTTATACTCCATATTAAATATGTGTAAAATTTATACATACATAGTAAAGTTGGGCCTATAAAATTAATACAGAAAACATGTATGTACATAAGATAGTCAAAAAGTTTGTGGTATAATGAGTAAATGCTAGAACTTCCAAAAAAAATCAGTTTTTTTTTTTTTTTTTTTGGATTACAAAATTACTTGTTTAATGAAAAATGTTTATAAGCATATGAACAAAGAAGACATGGCTTGATTTGATCTTTTGCTTCGATTGACCTACAACATGCCCCAATATGCTCTTGAAACTGACGGTACACATTACAATTAGAGCCTAACACATGTCTGGTCTTTTTGTCAAACTATTTACTTATTATTATCGTGTTTGAAATAATAATGAACCTAACATAATATAATAGCATAAAATTATAGTATTATTGATTGTGATCACTCTTTATAATTTAACTTTATAAGGCCAAATATAGTATGTCCGGAATCAAATGTATAAGGTGAAAGCATGTGAAGTGTAAAAGAAGGGTTGGAGTTAATTCCGTAAAATGCTATGTTTAGTACTCCGCATAATAAGATGCAGCATGGTAGCAAGCTACGGAGTAGCAACTAACACTAGCAACTTGGGGAAGATGATAAAATAAGCAAAGTTTATTTTGAGATTTGAGAATGAAATCGACAGAAAATGCTCTCCAGCTTATCTTAACTCTAAAGAGTTCCCTCCTCCCCCTTTTACGTCCAATCATGCATGCGAACTTGCAAAGGACCAAGTACTACTACTTTTGTTTCTTTCTTTCTTTCTTTCTTTTTTTCCTTCCTTTTTTGGGAGATTTCAAATTTCCCTCTACGCCTCTTCTCACTTAAATTGGATATTTTAGAATGATGAATTTTACAGCATAAAAATATACTCCGTATGTATTTAGTACAATAAATACCACTTTTCCGACCTGATTTAGAATATATATATAGATTATTGCAACATTTTTACAATTGAAAGTCAAATTAATTAGCTGACAAATCTATGTATTATTAGTAAGTCTTGTTATGATCAAGTAAGTCTTGTTATGATCGAGTAAGAGCCAATCGAGCTTACACTTTGGGTTTTTTTTAAAAAAAAAAAAATTATTTTTATCTTTATTTTATTTTTTTAAAAAAGAAAAAAATAAATAGAGAAGGGTATGGTGAAATCACATGGCATAGTGTTTCAAAAAAAAAAAAAAAAAAAATCACATGGCATAGTATGTATGGCATTTGATGAAAAATGGGGCTTTAATGCTTTGATCGGAAAAATATTCTGATTCATTATTATTTTTGATAGCAGAGAAGTAGCTATTCCTTGCTTGCTCTCATGACTCTGACGACCTCACTATTCATTCACTAAAAGGGCAACACCATTTTCCCATACTAATATATACTACCTCATTTTCAGTAGTGTTTCACCCCCACTATACAATTACTACTCGTATGTCATCTCTTTTAAATATACGAGTACATACTAACATACATGTAAAAATTTCTAAAAAGTTAATAACATTTTATGTAGAGGTGTAGTAGTCAGATAGTCTATAAATAATGATATGTTAATGTTTCTAATTAGGAGATTAGTAATAATGCATGAAATTAATAGAGTAGTTTGCATGTGATGTTGCGTAGTCTTGGAGATGAGATGGATGTGATTTTTCGTTGTGGGGACGGAGCTACCAGCCCACAGCCCACAGGTGTTTCTTTTAGTAGTACTAGCTAATCCTAGTTATGTTTTTTTTCTTTATTTTATTTTTTTTAATTCAGATAAAAAAATTAACTACGATCGAGTATTCAGTGAGTACATGTACATGGATCTTGGCTTCTATTCAATGACAGACAATTCATTGCCTAATTTCTACCTCTCATTCAATGCTGATTTTAAACATCTCCTTCCTTCCTTGTGAATGTTTTCCAAGATTTTATCACAAGCAAGTTTTATTCTAATTATTTGTCAACTTTATTAGTATCAAATGATAGTATTCGATCAGGTGTTATAGAATCATAGTACCCCGTCACACACGAGTTTTAATTATTTTTATCATTAATGATAATAACAACTGTCTAACTATTGACACTTTTAAACCAAATATCAACATAAATTTCAAAAATACTGAATACAAAATACTAAGTTGTTTTGTACCTTAATCACATTATTGTTTTGGACTCTTACTAAGTAATGTTTTTTTTTTTAAAGACTCTTACTAAGGGCCTGTTCTGATAAACTAAACTGAGCTGATTGAACTGAACTAAATGGTTTATGAGAGAATAAAATTAGGAACTGAACTGAAAGGTTTATGAGAAAAGGAAATTAAAAACTGAACTGAATTGAACTAAATTGAATTGAAGTAAACTGAACTGAACTGAAATTAAGCTGAATAGAACAAACCCTAACTAATGTTGTTTCCTTTAAGTTACTAGTTACGGCATATCTAATGTTGGTTGAAAAGATTTTTACTAATCTCATAATTGCTTTGGTGCCCTTGTTTGTACGAATGACTTGATCATATCATTAAATTTACTGTGGGTGTTACCGTGGGGATAATCTGGTACTGTCGCAGTAAATATTATGGAGTATATACAATGTATTCAAGATATTGCTATTAATAATTTTTTGAAAAAAGAAGTAATATTTGTATTCCCTTAAATTAAAGGGGATCTAGGTGGGGTTGAGGGGAAGAGAACAAAAATGGAGAGACAAACGATACAATAATTAATTAAAAAAAGAGATAAGAAAAAAGAAATAGGGAGAGGTGAAGTAAGAATAAAATAGATTGTCAAATCGTAAGACAGTGGTGGATTCCCAGGTCACACGAGTTCTAATTTGGCTAAACTTATTACGTACACAGTACACCCCGTAGACCACCCTTCTTTTTTCTTTGACTTTCTTTCAATTTTACTTCTGTTGTTATTACTTTAATTACCCTCTACTACTGTACTAATTATGCTGCTGCACTGGACTACTGGTTTGTTTAGGCCTCCTAATCCTAATTTCTTCAGTAGGCAACTACTTAGTTATAAGGAGGATACTGGAGTAATTAACAAATTAGTGATTGTAACAAGGAAGAAATTATTAGCTAGAATAGTTAAAGCTAATTTTACAAATGGAGGTTGATTGGAAATCGACTTAAGGGTCCGTTCTCATTGAACTGAACTGAACTGAATTGAAATGAAATGAATATTTTATAAGAAAAGGAAATTAGGAGCTGAAATGAACTGAACTGAGCTGAATTAAACTGAACTGGAAAAAATGTACCTTCGTTTTTTAAAGATACTTACAAGCACTCAAGTATGTTTATCATTTTTTTGTAATCAAACTCGTGGCAAATGTGTGGAACAGCTCAAGAAAATAGGCAAGGCCTCAAGAGTGAGATTGGAGATTGATAATTAATAATGTAGGACCAATCCAAGACCCATAAAATTCAAGTAGATAACCCGATGTGAATAAATTGAAAAGAAGATGAATTAAGTATATCTCACCAACATATGCTCAAGAATATAATATCTAATCTAATCCAGCTTTAGAAAACCCAGTTGATGGTTTATCAAAAATCCAGTTCTCACGTAGCTCATATAACTCACTACTTACATACAAGAATAAGGATATATTCACCTCTATTATTACTTCTATAACAATCTGCATGCACCTCGATTTTATTCTTTTTAATTATCACACGCAGTATTGGGTTCTTGCAATTTACCCACTTTTTTTCTTAGATCAATAAAGCCATGATATTGAGAATCCACAAATTAAAGTGACCTAATCTTTAATTTGTAACAAGGTCTAAGCCAAAAAGTTTTTTAACACTACTATTTAGTGATCTCTTAGACTTTTCATTGCATATATCAATATATGCATTGGAGATGTATCGAGCAAATAACAATATTTGTATATATATTCCATGATTTATAAATTCTTAGAACTTTTATAATTTTATATTTTCTCTCCGCTTCTAAATAATAGCAACTTTTTAGACTTTAGCGTGAGATTACTTTATAAATTTAACTCGTTTTGAATTTTAACCGAAATGATGATTATTCTCACGATTATGGGCCATGGCCAATGGCCACAAAACAATGTATGTGCTCCAATTAAGAATTGCAACATAAGTAATATTCCCCATGGCTATTAAAGTAAACATGGTTCTATTTTCTAACAATGCTTTTCATTTACTTTTAGAAAAAACAGCCACTCTTTTCTTGTTTAAAAGTAACATAGATATGTATTTTCCTACTTTTAAGTCTTTAGAGTGGTTTAGTGAGTAGATAATGATACTACTCCGTATTATGATAGTGCCAATTTTTGTGATACGTATATTACTTACTTTGTAGAGTATTGATAATATAGTACATACTGGATAACTGTACTTCATACAACATGAAGTATCATTCAACTAAAACTTATTGGCAAACTTGATTTTTTCGAGCTTAAACAACCTATTTACAATCTTGTTATTGCTAGTAACAAGGGGGGAAAAAAAAAAACTAATCATTCATATGTTATAATTTTTTTTAGTAATCTAAATAATACGGAGTACGGAGTAATAAAAAAATCTATTGTTTTATCTTAACAAAAAAACAATACAAGTAATGGGCATCTTATATACTCCATTGTAGAGTCCATAGAATTTGAGCCCTTGCACCATTATTAATACAAAACATGGTAACTGCCTATTAGGCCATAAATGGGCCAAATACTTGCAAGATTCTGTTAAGAGGCCCTTTTGAAAAATGGCCAAGGGCCCAAGACAAAAGAAATATGCCAACGTATATAGTGACATCACTCGATAATGCATAACTTTAATCATTACTCCGTACTGTATTTAATTATCTATGAGTATTAGGACTTTTATATACTGAGTAGTAATTTTAAATTTAATATTAAGAAAATAAACACATTGAAACTAATCCAACGACATACTTCATTAGAAGTATAACACAATGGCAAATTTTTAATTTTTTTTTCCTTTTAGTATATATATGTACATGTATAACAAATGGTTGAATTAATAGTGCAAACGGAAGTAGAGTAAGAAAGGGTTGAACAGAGCTCACATTTCATACTTGCTAAAAGAAGCTCCTATGCTGAAAAATTACAAGAATGTCAATTACAGAATACTTCTTCGTAAGTTAATTAAGTAGTATATCATCGATCATTTCTAAACCAGTTAAGTATCACGTATAAAACGAACGCCAGACAACAGATAGCAGATGCCAACAAGACAGAAACCTGAACCCATACAATGGAACTAAATGCTTCTGAGACAACAGCATTCCAGGACCATATCCAAGCTAGAGAAAAACAGGAACCCAAGACAGCACCTACTATCACCTGGTCGATTGAGTGGAGTTTTTGTGTGACTCTTAGCCATGACTGCACAATCAATCCCAAAAAGAAAAAAGGAAAAGGCTTAAGATTACAGAGACGTGTTCCTCAAGGCTAAAGGGATGTAAAAATAAACGGCTACCATTGACAAATTTAAACAATCAGTAGCGAAGAGTTTGAACCAAGATTTATAGAGTACGTGTCTCAGGCATACCAAGTAGGAGATGACTCAAATGAGATACTCAAACCACAGATTAAGGTTCTCATAATCATTTTTGGATGTTACAAAATTAAGCTTTGATTTCTATAAGACCTGATATTTTTCTAAACTATACATGATAGCTGTAATATTTACTAAAGATATCTTAAATTTGAAGCAAGTCATTAAAGTCAGAATATATATGTTGAATTTCAAAACAGAAGGGCAAGTAGGTGTTTAAGAGTTATAGTTCTTACAAGATATGAGCCAAATGCCAGAGAAACAGCCGCAAAGATCACAGTGGTTTCGTTCACACCCAGCCACTCAATCACTGCAGCAGATATTACAGGATTATAAGTCAATGTAGGAACTTCGTCAAATATAAAGGAGCAGAAAGAAGAATAAAAGAAAACAGAACACAGTTGAACAGACGAGCGAATCCACAATTGGAGAATAAGCTGTTGTGGACTTGTGGTGCACAAGTGCAATGTATTGATGGTTAATTTAATGGAGTGTCATAGTGTATACTATAATTAAAACTGAAGTAACATATCTTTTCAAGAGCCACCGTGTCATGCACTCTGTAATTAGTTGTGGGATCAGTATACTTAATTAGCTTCCTTGGAGGCTAAAGAAGCTGGGGGCCCTTGAAACCTACAGTACTCAATTTTGGAGACTTTAGGAATTGGGTGATATTGTGAGTAATTGTTATTGTTATAGAACAGTGTCTTCCTCTCAATATGTACAGTTTGTTTGATGCTCGCATGTTAGTAGGTTATTTGGTACATATGTATGGTTTCATCACTGTCATCAATCTCATATTGCGATAGCCTAGAGTCCATTTGGTTCTTGGAGATCATTTAGTTTTATTATTGATGCAGCTATTCTGCCAAAAACACCTATGGAGTATAAGTTTAAGAATCGTTGCTTCTTATCCAAAAAAAGAGAAGAAAAAAAAAGTCAGGGAAGCTCAAGACACTCTCATAGCCCAAAAAAAAAAACAGCAGTTTTTCCCAAAGATAATACTTAGTCTTCTCTTATGAAGCCATTCTGCACAACGTTAACGTACATGCGTAACTCTCATGTTAAACAGAACCTTTGCCTTCTATAAGCAGCTACTTAAAGATGGGATGGGCAAATATAATAACCACAGAAAAAGACTTGCATTAATGGTCACTGACAAGTCATTAACCCAAATAATATTATTTTTGCAGTACATATGAATGATATGATAAATCAGAACCTCAAACATGAAAGTAAGGTCCTCAATCTCTATCATGGGGTGACCTTCCTAAATGAAAAACAAAAACCCACTTAACTGTTGAGTCGTATAAAAAAGCCTCATGCACTGCTTCAATGGCCGCGAAATACACACCAAGAATGGAATCCCTTCTACAAAAGAACACAAGGACCACAACATGGTGTAGGAAAGAACCTGCCCTAACTGGTTGATCATCAAGTTCTTAACATTCACATGAGTAATTCTGGTCTACAAAAGTACAGAAAAATTGCAAGGAGCTCAAGTGGCAAGAGTTCCCCTTATCATCCCTACTCTTAAGGCGGGTTTTTTTTTTCAATTTTATCTTATTAGCCTAGTGAACCTCCCCAGGCCATGGCCCTAGTATGAACCTTGTTATAGGTGTTGCGAGCCCATTTCAACTACCAGAAAGGATTCAAAGGAATGGCTATAGGAATTAGGAAGATCATATCCTCCAGGATATTCCTTTATCTTGTTCAAAATCCCATATGAATAACCCCCAGTCCACTAGCTAGTCCAGCCCTTGCCATATTGCCAATATGTGCACTTGACTAGCTAAATCTCTATACAGTAGCCATCATTGTTCAAACATGTTTAATTTCTAAGAGGCCTTGAAAACCTTAGTCCAATGTGTATCTTAACACACACACTACACACCTACACTTCCTAACTTCACTCTTTATTAAGTCAAAAAAGTGCCAGCAAAATTATTAATCTACTACCAAAACTCAAGCATTAAGAAGGTTAAAGAGAATTACTTGACATAATGAAAAACACCACAATATAAAAGATGGATTGCGAATGGGATGATGGCATGCCAGGATCCGATCTCACATTCGCAATCGGACGCTCTTGATTCAAGACTCTTTTCAAAACAACAGAGAGCACAGAGTTCAGAACAGAACCCATGGCAGCCCACACGGCTTGAGCATCATGTCTCCAAAGGATGAAAGCACCAAATAGAACAGAAACCACCCACTTACTCTGCATATCATTGATACATCAAAGATCAAATAATGCAATCATTTTAACTTACTGATTAATCCAAAATCAATGACATTATTATATCAACATTAACCAATGCAAAAATGTCTAAAAGTTGTCCATTTTGCAATCAAAGCAAAATCACGTAATTTAAACCTAAATAATATAGAGTAAATTATTAGTATGATGACACAGACATAAGTTAAAAGTAAAACTACATTACTTCACCCTTTAATCCAACAATTTTAGATGCCGAAAACTCAATAATTTAATCTTGTATGGTTAAGGAATTTTAATGACCTAAACCCAGAAATTGAGACAGCATAGAACTTAATAAGCAAAATTAACAAATAAATGAAATAAATTTTTAAAAAGAAAAACTCACCAAACGATTTAGAGTGGATTCGAATTCAGGAGAAAGAAGAAAAGAGCGAAATTTGGAAGGCCCATCAAGTAAAACTTCTTGCTCAAGAACATGGATGTTTTCTTCTTCATCTTCTGACCTTAAAGCAGCGATTTTTTGGAACTTTTCACCCATTAAACTTCTTTTTCTTCTATCTAAGGAAATTGGGTACATCACAGAAAGAAAATCACAAGAAATTGATGATTTTGGGGAAGAACAACGATGGTGAAAGGAAATGGAACAAGAAGGAAAGTTAGAGTGAGTTGTAAGAAGATTGGGTTTGGTTGGTAAACTTAAAATTTGGAAATGAGTCAAAGGATTTGTCGTTGACATTGGGGAATTTAAGCTTTTTTTCAGCAACAAATTTATTGTGGTTAAAATCGTTTAATATGAAGAACAAACATAAAACCCATATAAAAAATAAGTTAAGTTCGAATATGGTGGACTTGGTGGTTGTTTGTTGTTTAATGTTGACGTGTTGTACTAGTACTTGTGTTTGTGATAGTATCAAGACCTTGCGTAAACTCCATCGATTATGGTTATGTGGCTGCCAATTTTTATTTTTGCTAATCCATTCCTTTCAATCTTCTGTTGCATAATAAATTGTTTTATAGTAGGAGTTAGAGTTGTCAAAAGTTGACACGATTCGAAATACCGACTCAATTCCGATTATTAATCGACCCATTTGAACCCGGAAAAATGGTGACCCAAACCCGACCTAAAACCAACCCTAGACCTGAGTATGTGAGACCCGAACCCGAACATGAACTGACCTGGAGATGACCCAACCCGAATGTAACTCGTAAATTATTGACCTGAACCGAACCTGCCTTGAATCGAAATTGACCCAAATCCGTTTTAACCCGTATGGTTCCAAACGACATTATATGACCCCGAGAAGTATTCCCTAGAATTTCATGAATTTTCAAAACCCGGGTCCCGAATACTCCAAAAATATTGAAAAGCGTGGATATTAGCCTTTAATTTTGGAATTTTTGACTTTATTTTAACACGGATATAAAAATTGCCGAAATTTTTACTATGCTCCCAAATACCCTTCGGGAGTCCAATTGGGTGGGTGGAACCGTCCAATTTGCCTTTAAATGACCAATTTACCGGTTTACAACTTGCATCGATTTCATTAATTCAAGCCAACCACGAAAATTTATGACAAAAAATATTGATCATATATGGTTCCAAACGGCATTATATGACCCCGAGATGCATCCTATAGAATTTCAAGAAATTTCGACACCAAGCCTCGAAACCTCCAAAACTTCTCAAAAAGCGTGGATATTAGCCTTTAATTTTGGAATTTTTGTACTTTTTTTTCGCTTGGAAATAAAAATTGCAAAAATGTTTACCATGGTCCCAAATACCTTCTGGGAGACCAATTGGGTGGGTGGAACCGTCCAATTTATCTTTAAACGACCAATTTACCGGTTTACAACTTGCACTGATTTCATTAATTCTAGCCAACCACGAACATTTATGACAACAAATAATGATCATATATAGTTCCAAACGACATTATATGACCCCGAGACGCATCCCATAGAATTTGAAGACTTTTCGACATTAGGCCCCAAAATCATCAAAATTTCTTAAAAAGCCTAGATATTAGCCTTTAATTTTGGAATTTTTTGACTTTTAATTGTCCGAAAATAAAAAATTGCCGAAATGTTTACCATGGTCCCTAATACCCTCTGGGAGTCCAATTGGGTTGGTGGAACCATCCAATTTGCCTTTAAACGACCAATTTATCGGTTTACAACTTACACCGATTTCATTAATTCAAGCCTACCACGAACATTTATGACAACAAACAATGACCATATATGGTTCCAAACGACATTATTTGACCTTAAGATTTATTCTCTAGAGTTTCAAGAATTTTCGAAACCAGGCCCCGAATAGTCCAAAAGTTCTCAAAAAACGTGGATATTAGCCTTCAAATTTGGAAATATTTGCCTTTTTCGCCCGGATATTAAAATTCCGAAATATTTACCATGGTCCCAAATACCCTCTGGTAGTCCAATTGGGTGGGTGGAACTGTCCAATTTGCCTTTAAACGATCAATTTACCGATTTACAACTTGCACCGATTTCATTAATTCAATCCAACCATGAACATTTATGAAACAAATAATGATCATATATGGTTCCAAATGGCATTATATGACCCCGAAATTCATTCCATAGAATTTCAAGACTTTTCGACACCGGGCCTCGAAACCTCCAAAATTTCTCAAATAACGTGGTTATTAACCTTCAATTTCGGATTTTTTTGACTTTTTATTCGCCCGTAAATAAAAATTGCCAAAATTTTTACCATGGTCCCTAATATCCTCCGGGAGTCCAATTGGGTGGGTGAAACCGTTCAATTTTCCTTTAAACGACCAATTTACCGATTTTCAATTTAATCTGATTTCATTAATTTAAGCCTACCACGAACATTTATGACAACAAATAATGACCATATATGGTTCCAAACAAAATCTTATGACCTCGAGATTTATTCTTTAGAATTTAAAGAATTTTCAAAACCTGGCCCTGATAACTCCAAAATTTCTTAAAAAACGTGGATATTCCCTTCAATTTTGGATTTTTTTTTACTTTTATTCGCCCGAAAATAAAAATTGCTAAAATGTTTACCATGGTCCCTAATACCCTTTGGGATCCCAATTGGGTGGGTGGAACCATCCAATTTGCCTTTAAACGACCAATTTACCGGTTTACAACTTACACCGATTTCGTTAATTCAAGCCTACCACAAACATTTATGACAACAAATAATGATCATATATGGTTCCAAACGACGTTATATGACCCCAAGATGTATTCCCTAGAATTTAGAGAATTTTCAAAGTCGGGCCCAGAATAGTCCAAAAATTCTCAAAAAACGTGGATATTAGGCTTCAATTTTGGAATTTTTTGACTTTTTTTTGGCCTTGAAATAAAAATTTCCGAAATGTTTACCATGGTCCCTAGTACCCTCCGAAAGCCCAATTGAGTGGGTGGAACCATCCAATTTGCCTCTAAACAACCAATTAACCTATTTACAACTTACACCGATTTCATTAATTCAAGATTACCACGAACATTTATGACAACAAATATTGACCATATATGGTTCCAAACGACATTATATGACCTCGAGATTTATTCTCTAGAATTTCTTAAATTTTCGAAACTGGCCCCGATGATTCCAAAAATTCTCAAAAAGCGTTGATATTAGTCTTCAATTTTGTAAATTTTTGAATTTTTTTCCGCCCGGATATTAAAATTGTCGAAATATTTACCATGGTACCAGATACTCTCCGTGAGTCCATTTTGGTGGGTGTAACTGTCCAATTTGCCTTTAAACGACCATTTTACCAATTTACAACTTACACCGATTTCATTAATTCAAGCCAATCACGAACATTCATGAAAACAAATAATGATCAAATATGGTTCCTGTAGACACCTATTTGTGTCTCCCCAAAACCAAACCCAGTGATGAGTATCTTTCGCGTCGAATCATAATCGAATGAAGTGAAAGTGTGGAAGGTTTAGTGTTGCGGATAGTTAATTTTCTTTCTCTTCTCTCTGTTTTTGAAAACTTATTTTAAGAAAACAGTCGATCCAGTTTGGTTGGTCCATGATATGGGTCCAATATTAGTGTAGTTGTATGGGACTTGACAAGAGCTTTCCAACGATATATTATAAGCCCAATTTCGATGAATATTGAGGAAGTTATGGCCAATTTACCAAACTGGACCCGGTTTGAGCCTTATGTGCGGCCCAATGATCTAGGGGAAGACCTAATATGATTTATCATTCCTAATGCAATTAGGAATGGTTTTAGTCTTCTAGATTCTTCTAGAAGGTTCTTTTCATTCCTAATTCAATTAGCATTGATAAATTGACTTTTGTTGACTTTTCAGAGTTTTAATTAAAATAAAAGAGCATTTTTGAGGAAAATACGATTTTATCCTCCTGTACGGTAATTTTTATCTGATTTTAGAAAACGCGTGAATTTCTGAAATCAGCGCCAAACGCTAGCTATAGCGCCTGGCGCCAGTAGGCGCCAACAGCCAGCGTTGGCGCTGGTTCATTTTTCTGTGCGCCAGGGCTCTGTTTTGTTAATTTTATCTTTTTGGCTGATTTTCTCTATAAATAACGTCGTAAAAACTCCGTTTTCATTCACCTACAACCAGTTTTCATCAATAATCATCTACAATCTTCCTAAAGCTTATTCTCTCTCTCTTTTCTAAACTAGCCTTCTCTCAAATACAAAATTCCGCATTCGCAAGATCTAGAAACACCTAGCCATATTCAAAGTTGTCTTCGCCCTAGACGTGAAAGGTTTAATTTCTGAGGTTTTGGTCCCAAATCTCTCTTTCAATTATTTAATTTAATTGTTTTGTTTATTGTTTTCCTTGAAGTTACTAACGTGGGTATTTTTTTATTAGAAAGAGGTACGAGGCATCAAAGTAAGTGCTTTAATGGTTTTAATTGATGTTATGATGTAGAAATCATGCTTAGATTGTTATTTTGATTCCTAGTATCATGTCTAGGGTAATTTTAATATCAAGTATGATTAAAAGTATGATGCTTCCTATTTTCTTCCTAATGTTTACGATTGTTAGTATCATGTTAGGGTTAAAGATTTGATTTTTATTGCTTAGTGACATGCTAGGATTTGTTATTAATCTTGTTAGTATCATGCCAGGATCTTGCTATTTTTATTATGCTTTAACATGATTTATGATTATTTTTATAATTATTTTGATTATGATTATAATTTTATTATTGCTATTATTATTATTATTATTATTATTATTATTATTATTATTATTATTATTATTATTATTATTATTATTATTATTATTATTATTATTATTATTATTATTATTATTATTATTATGATTAACATGATTATTATTATGATTAATATGATTGTTATTATTTTGATTATTGTTATGATTGTTATTAACATGATTTATTATTATTATTATGTTGCTTGATATTTATTGTTATTGCTTGATCACACCTTTTATGCACGTTTAAAGGGAATTAGTACTTGTAATCACGCTTAATAAGATAATTAATAATCTTGTTTAGGGTTAACTTGATTATAATTCAAGTGATCGCCAATAATAGTTTTATTTGTGCATTATATTCAACCAACATAGATAAACAGGTTTAGGGTTAATCCTAATGATTGCATGTTAGTCAGAAAGCGCACATAAATACGATCAGAATAAAGTAGAGGCCTATTATTAGGGCAGGTTCAATATCTTTTAGATTGGATTTGTACCTTCATCCCCGAACCCTTATTTGGCTTATGGAGTTGACGATCTCTTGGATCGTTAAGGGGTGTAACCTTCACCCTGTGAACGGTTTACAAGTTCCTAAAACTTGTTGGCGACTCTTTTGCTCTATCTTCTTTCCCTTTGGACGCCACCGTACTTA